GGAGGCGAAACTCAATACTGTGGCTTTGTCTCAAACCCTAGCAAGGTGCCTACTTAGACAGCATTTTAGGGCATTGTATGCAAGCTCTCGATTTGAACATATTTTTGTATTGAAACTACATATTGAAGTATTGTTGTGCTTATTGAAGTAAGAACTTGTTAATTACGTAGGTCAGAATCAGACATGAGTGTAATTTAGTCTGTCATGAGCAATGTATGAGGACTGCTTTTGGTGTGATGCACATAAATGGCTGTCAATAGCCATATACAGTGCACACTGCAAAGTTTTGGCAGTGACAATCAGGAGCGAATCTCCTAAATTATTGTTTTGGGTTTGCTAATACAGTAGTCCCTCCCGAAATGTGACGATTGACATAGTGATAATCAGTGTTGGGGGTAACGCATTACAAGTAACGCGAGTTACATAATCAGATTACTTTTTTCAAGTAACTAGTAAAGTAACGCATTACTTTTTCAGATAAGTAACACAAGTTACTTCTTTTTTTTCCAATTTATTGACTGACAGCTCTCCTGTCCCCATGTTTAGAGAAATCAGATGTCACTGTAATTCTAAAATAAATATGAATATGCATTAATTCATCTCACTCACAAAAAAAAAAAAAATTCAGTATTCCTCAAAATGAATAAAAATAATGCAACTCAGAATATGACGCAAACCTGCAATAATTAAATGTTAAACAGCACAAATATGCTTTATGTATTTAATCCCATTCTATTAACAATGCCTTTGCAGAAGACCTTCGATGATCCAGTTCAAGCGTACTAATAAGCAACAATTACTCTAGACGAATATTTGTGTGTCTTTGTTTATTGCTGAAGTGTGTTGAAATGTCTTCTTCTGCATTCTACTGTACGGACGAAAATGTACTTTCCCTTCAGTCCGAGGCGCATTCATTTCACTCTTGGTGTGAAAAGGCTTTTATATTTGCCAAAAATAGAAATTTTATATTTTAAAAACAAACAGGCAAGCCCTGTCCAGATTTCAAAAGTAACGCAAAAGTAACGTAACACATTACTTTCCATAAAAAGTAACTAAGTACCGTAATTAGTTACTTTTTTTATGAAGTAACGCAATATTGTAATGCATTACTTTTAAAAGTAACTTTCCCCAACACTGGTGATAATAACCATAACAAAGATTTGGTTTCTGTAAAAATTATCATTTAAAAGTGATCAGAGTAAACATCCGCCACTTGTTAATAAACCCACAGAGGCATTTTGTTTATGTTCTGTATAGACTGCTGATTTTAATAAGCCATATGAGAGATTTAGTAGAAATGATAGGAGTTAAAAAAAAATGGTCAGACATTTATGATTTGACAAAAAGTTGTCAGAGCCTAGACTCATCTGTTAAATGTGCATGCTAACGTTATAGCCTATAGGAACATGAGGTCAGTTTGTGATCTAACATTTGAATTATGAGATTATATAACTCTTGGAAGTTCCACAGGCTGTGGAGGAAAGGTGGAGGAATGTTCTCAAGGGGTGTAAAAGTGAGCCAAATTACTGTAGCTATGTTTATTTAGCCTAATTGTTTAAAAATGACTACTAATTTGTCATATTTACAAATACAAGCTTAATTTCAGATGCATTCATGCTCGCATTTGAGCGTTTATTGGCAATCTAATCAAATCTGTCCCTGTTCACGCGTTTTATTATAGCCACACAACAGTGGGTGAGTGATCGAGCCGGGATTTGAGACACGGCCCGTGTCGGAAGCGGGGGAGACTCGCTCGCTTGTCCTCTCGGTCTCGGTACGCGCTCGGGATTGGCCGGCTACGGTTAAAAACACTCCCCTGTTCACGGATGAACACCCTTCCCCGACCGCATTCCTTCCGCTCTCGACTATTATGTAAAACACCCGCTTCTGTTCTCGAACGTTGACGGTAAAGTTGAGTTGTAAAGCGAGATATTTGTAACTTTCTGTTGATTTTTACGGTATCGAGTGGAGCGCGATGGTGCTGAAGTCCGAGGACGGTGTCGGTGAGTGACTGACGATCGGCAGCTGTTACTTATTCTGCATTAAAACAGATGTCAAGTGTGACTTCTAAGAGATCGATTAAAATAAGCTGACATTTGATTCACTATTGCAGCGCTTTAGCTCCTTTAGAATATGATATTTACATATTTTACTCTTTTTTTTTCTATAAAGCGTGTTATGTCCACAAGGTTTTTATTTTGATTTAGTTGGGAGCAAACTAGCTTTAAATAAATAAGTAAATGTGATGGTCTTATTTCATGGTTCTCAAGCGCCATGCTCAGACAAAGTTTGACCAAATATGTCAAACACACACTTTAGTGCTCATAACTAAACACCAAAAAACGTACTTTGAGAGTCAAAACGATTTGAAGGCTATTATGAGTGTAATGCTGTCATACTGTGGCTCAGGGTTGTTATAGACGAGCAGTGTTGGGGAAAGTTACTTTTAAAAGTAATGCGTTACAATATTGCGTTACTCCATAAAAAAGTAACTAATTACGGTACTTAGTTACTTTTTATGGAAAGTAATGCGTTACGTTACTTTTGTGTTACTTTTGAAATCTGGACAGGGCTTGCTTGTTTGTTTTTCAAATATAAAAGTTCTATTTTTGGCAAATATGAAAGCTAGTACGGTTGAACTGGACCATCGAAGGTCAGAAGCAACAGAATGGGATTAAATACATAAAGCATATTTGTGCTGTTTAACATTTAATTATTGCATATTCTGAGTTGCATTATTTTTATTCATTTTGAGGAATATCTGAATCTTTGTGAGTGAGATGAATGAATGCATATTCATATTTATTTTGAACTACAGTAACATCTTCTGAGTTCTTTCAACATGGCGACAGCAGAGCTGTCAATCAATAAATTGGAAAAAAAAGTAACTTGCGTTACTTATCTGAAAAAGTTGCTCAGATATTCTCTTGTAAATTAAAAAGTAATGCGTTACTTTACTAGTTACTTGAAAAAAGTAATCTGATTACGTAACTCGCGTTACTTGTAATGAGTTACCCCCCAACACTGTAGACAACAATACTCCTCACATGTGAACTGTCCATCATCTTTTCTTAGTTGAGTATGCAGTTATGTTGTGAATTATTCATCGTGAACGAAAGGCCTCACTGGTCTTGACGAGTAATGAATGTGTTTTGTTGTTCCATCGTGATCCTTGTTTAAAAATAGGCTATGTGCAAATGCCTCGGCAGATATGCTTTCTGTTACTTGTGCTTGATCGCTGTAGAAAGTTTGTGTTTTTGCATGGGTGTTAAACCTTTTTTGACAACTATGTCCTCACTTCTATTAATTCTGACTCTTCTATTTTTTTTCTGCGTATGTACCTGTAATGTTTAATTTGTCTGTCTTCCTAGTGTGACTCAGACAGGCTGCAACTTGTCCAGACTCCTGAAGTCTGAGGCAATATCCAGCATACCACTGAATACATGAGCAGCATTTCTCTTTGAATTCCCTGCTTTTTAAGCAGCATGTTTCCTGGACGTTTAACAGTATATTGTAACGTGCTGTAGTCGTGTGTGTTTGTAACACTTGTTGTCTGATGGTGAGGAATGTAGCTCAGCTGTCTGGGTTCGGTGAAGGGGGTTGGGATGTTTTCTAGGAGAATGCTGAATGCTGATATCTCAATCTCGCATAGCCAGACTTTTGACTATCGAGTATCAACGTACACATATTCTTCACTTTGCAAGTGTTCCAAGAACCATCCACAAAGGAAGAATTTCAACAGAATACATGTTGGCCCAAGCACAAAGCACAGCATGCAATTTTGCTTGAGCATTTCTTGTTTACATGCTGCAAAAAATCTCATACAAAACTGTAAAAAAAAAAATTATATACTGATTATATATCACAAACATATCAAGAAGATTGAGCCTTTATCATATCCATTTGCAAGAACTTCTTCAGAAGCATTCATATTTGTATAAACCTGTAAACATGTGTGTGTTCAGTTTCTTAAGCTTTCATCAAATTATGTTTGATCCCAAAGCATTACTAATATATAATTATAATTATTATATGTTATTACTAATATGTAATACTGCTAAATGAATAAATGTAAATGTAACTCCACTTCACGGCAAGACTGACTGTACTTTTCCCCCACCTATTTATCATTTTTAATTTAAATAAATATACATGAAATATTGATTGGTGTTGATATTTGTCTGTTTGAAATATATTGGTTAACAGATTATTGTATATCCAGGTTTTTCAGATTCCGAAGTTTGAACAACATATTTACATAATTTTTTTATACTTGAATACTTGTAATTACATATTGCAACATGGCTGGTGTTGAAAAGTACGTGTGGTTAGAGCTCTTTCCCATAGTAAGGGTGTGGGCTGTCTAAAGCGCCGCTTGAGAAAGAGACTTGACAGGAAATGTCACCTTAAACTGAACCCTGGCAGGAAGAAGCCTTCATCTCATTGCCCTTTAAAACTTAGTGCAGCTAAGGATCATGGGAAATGCAGTGCTGATTAATATTATTAGCGTTTGACTTGAGTTAGTTAAGCTGCAGTGTAAAATGGGGTGGTATTGATTTTTAGTTTCTCAGCTCAGCTCTGCTCAGTTTCCTGTCTGTGCGCTGTTGATTATCTGTGTGACCGCTGTGGTCACGTGACTTCCTGTCATGTGTGCGTTAGGCGCTGTGTTAAGCAAGTAAAGGGCATGTGGGATGTTGACTGTGTTTCGGTGTTGTTATCATCAATAGATATACAGGACATAGATGTTTATAGTGGTACATTTAGGCTACATGGACAGTAGGGCTGTCAAAATGGCTGAAAAACTAAATTTGAATTTTTCACTTAAATATGATAAATTCAAATTATATTCGAATTTAAAATGCATAATTTCAGTTAGGGTGAAGAAAAGCTTTTGGCTTCTCTCTTGAGGCCACAAGAGGGTGCATCGAGCAAAAAAAAGAGTACTAATGCACGTTTATTCAAAGCATAAGATAACATGACTATCCGTGAAAAAAAGTGCATAATGTTTAAAATAATGTATAGTTTAATACATAGGGCCAAAAGCCAATCACACATTTTTCAGTACATTTTTCATTTAAAAACACGAGTTGCAGTTGTATGGGGGAAAAAACCATAAAGTCTCGAGATATGTTTTTTCAGAGTTGAACTTGCATTAACTTTACATGGCTTTCTAAACATGCAGCTTCTTTTGTGCGAGACGAGAGTGCAACGGTGATAGATGTCCCTCTAGAAAATGTGCGAAATATGCATTTTGTGTGAACGGCTTGGTTTCAGTTTTGATGTAAACAAGATCTTCTCCGCATTGATGTTCTCTTTTCCCGCAATATTTGTAATTAACAACACAGCAGCGCCGCATCTAGTGGCTTCAACTGGATAGGCTAACAAAAACATTAAAATTAATTTTAAATTCGACGAATATTCGAAATTCACTTTTTTTTTTGACAGCCCTAATGGACAGCAAACATCTGTGATATGCTTTTGACTGTCACTTTAAATAAATGAATCCATTCATCCTTCAGTTTATAAAATCACGTAAAAGTTGCATTTGCAGTTTAGCAGTAGAAGTCTGTGTTTATCAGACTTTGTAGTAAGATGTTTATATGACATGAGCAAACATCGTCACTCCCGTTTAACATGCAATTTTTAAGCAATTTTAAATTTGGTAAGCGTGGTTATATTTACCGCCATTTCTGCCTTCACATACCCCAGTGCACAGCACAATGATGGACTCACATACAGAAGGTGTGATACTGGCCACTGTTTTATTCTACTTATGTCAAATGCAAAAACACATTTCTGTGCATGTATTGGATGGCTGTTAGGCACTTGGATGGACATTGAAATGTGATTGCTCTGCTCTCGTGTTGTTTGTGTCGTTTCTGGATGACGAGCAGACAGTGGTGGCAGTGAGTTGTGTTGACAAAGTTCAAGTGGATGGAAAATTTTGGAACGTCACAGAGTTCATTCATGATATTGTGTGAATAACATAGTAATGCAATTTCAAGAGTTTACATGCCAGCTTATTGTGATTAAAATTAAAATTGCTAAAATTAGCATAGGCCACATGTGTTATAATGATTATGGTTACTACACTTTTGAGCTTAATCGCATCAGTTTGATTATTGTGTTTACACGAGGTAACGTTTAATCATGATATTGCCCAAATCTCATTATAATTGCATTATGAGGGCACATGTAAACGTAGGCTAGTCAATGACTTTATTATCTAGGGTGCTTTAAAACAATTCAAGCTTCACATTTCTACTTTCAAAACCTCTTGAGTTTTTGCCCCAGACTTTCATTGTATATGCCTTACCCTTTACACAATATTTGCTTGTTTTTATAATCTGAAGCTTGAAAGCATTGACAGCATGCTTTACATAGAGCTTAACTGTGAACTCAGAATGTCAACAGTATGAGGATGACGCTTTTCTATTCTCACATTACCCCTGTCCCACGAACTGTGGTTTAAATAGCTAATGCTATTTTTTAAATGTCAAATAATATTTATTGTTTATATTATTTAATATCACCTTTTATGCATTTCAGATTAAAGTTGCCATTGTGTGTGATTATGATGCATGTAATTGCGGGAGCTGGAGCCCTCCAAAACTTTTGGATGGTGTTTTTTGTTAAATGGGTCAGTTTGGGTAGGCTACTGAATTAAATTTGTACTTATGTCAGACAACGGTTGAACTGTTTTGTTAAGTAGTGCGGGTGCTGCATTACCAGTTTAACTGGCCTACATAAAGCCCAGACCTGAAACCCACTGGTTCACTTTCACTGAATGTTCATGCTGCTTTTCTTCAGTGCAATCAAAGAGGATATTTTGGACATTCTGTTTGACATAATTTTCATTTATAGGTGAACTATCCCTTTAGACATGGTTTAAAAACCAGAGGCCAATGCCTCTTCATGAATGAAAAAATATGGTCACACTTTATTTTAAGGTCCAATTCTCGCTATTGCCAAACCATTAGCTATGACTTTTGCCTCAATAAACTGCTAATTTCCTGCTTATAGTTAGGTAGTTGTTAAGTTTAGGTATTGGGTAGGATTAGGGATGTAAAATATCAGATCATGCAGAATATGTGCAAAAAAATTTAATATTAAGAAATGTTGTGAATAATTGCTATCATTTCCCATGGTAATTGGCACTATCAGATCGAAAGGATCGCTGTCTCATTCTGGGTCTATAGTCATATGTGGTGTTTACTCATCAGATTTCTCCTGTACGCTTTCATTTGTTCACATAAACAGCAGGATGTTTACTCTGCAGAGCTTCAGGATGTTTGCTCAGCACAGCGGCCCGTCTGCTCCGGGCTCCCCCTCACAGATCGCACATCAGATCTGCAGCAAAACCCTCCGGTGCCCCATGATTGTTTAGCTAGGCTAATGATAAAAATAAGTTAGTCTGCATTCCTCATACACAGCTTGAAACAGTCTGTTGTTGTTGTTCGTGTTATTTTTGGCTTATGTCTGCTGCACTGATTCCCTGGCTTTCACTTGCTCACGTGAGCCGTGTGATATTGAAATGTGTCATCTCTCTGGAGTTCTGCCCTTGACTTATTTAAGACCCTCTCAGGATGCGCTGAAGGTGACGGATTCCAGGAAGACACATTTAAAGATGATCATAGGCCTTGATGAGCTGTCATATTAATCACGCTCTTATTAATTTGATCAGCATAGATGAGCTGCATACAGTGGGCCCACAACTGTAAAGATATAAAGAGAAAACTTTAAGAAATGAATGATGTTGACATGAACATATTTTACTTTTGTACTATAAAAATATTTCTGTCATGACAACTCTCTGAGGGATTGGCATGGTAATGTACATGGCAATGTTAATGTATTTGGTCTTGGCGGAATAGATCTGCTAAGCTGCTGCTGTTGCGGCAGAGCAAGTACCGAGACTTACTACTGCCAATACATCCACAACATGCTGCTGTGAGCATGTAAGAAATACTGCTGCTGCAAATATAACATACATGAAATAACCCCCATATAACATACTTAAACCACCTCGTAGCAGATCTATACAGGTGGAGCTGGAGAAGGTGGAGGGTTTCTGAAGCAAGCTGCAACTGCTATGGCAAGCACTAGTCATATATTTGAATGTTGAGCAGCGAGCTCATTGGCTACCGATACAGGAGAGAACCAATCAGCTGTGCCATGTGATAATGATGTCATTAGGTCAGATTGAGTTAGACCTGTTGGACTGCGCCATCTAGAGTTTCATGCCAGAACTCTGTATATATTTGAAGTTATACAATAAAAAACACAGCAGCTGTAGTTACCAGAACTTTACTGTAAAAAATTTGGAAACTGATGCTGATTAATTTGTTAATATACCAAATTACTTAAATCTGTTTTTACTTTTATAATATATTGGCATTGGCACCTACCTAGAAGGTGCTCTATGTCAAATACACAAATACAATTTTTTTTTTACGTTATTTGTAATTACATTGTAGTATTCTACAATCATAAAATGTGCATAACTAATAAGAAACTTAGACACTTAATAAGAAACCTACGCTTACAAAAACTGTAAATTTACTAGTAATTTTACTGTAAAATTACATGGAATGTTCCATTTGATATATAATAATTTTTCACTGTATATAGAGTACGGGAACTTACCATTAACCAATTAACAGGTTTTTACTGTAGAATTGTTATGGTCTTTTACCATTAAAATTATGATCGATTTTAGTGTCCAAATACATTTGTAGGACCTTGCATAGAAATGAAACCCATGACCTTTACATTGATAGTGCCATGCTCTGTTTGAACTACGTCAGCGTTACATTTACACTGCAAATAGTCTGTGTGAGTGAC